TTCGTCATTGAGGAAGAGAAGTTCGCGATAGTTTTGCTAAAAGATCGTTGACATTTATCTGTTGGATTTACTGTGAAGAGGTTGTGAAAACTTTATCAGTTACCTTTATTAACTGACTATTCTTTGGGAATAGTAGGTAATATTAAAAAAATTAGGTGCTTGGCAATGACTAATATTTGCTTTCTTAAGTTGCCTGGTTATTTTGATATTTTCTGTATTTTAATATTTTATTTGATTTATGAATTATTAAAAATTTAAGTTACGTGATGGGACTTATGCCCATGCCTCGAATTTGGTGGCTTTGTACTTCTTATGGTCATGAGAAGCAAAAACTATATTTTTGCAAGTGGTTCGAATTTGCATTATCATCTGATGCCTAGAGTTGGAGATTATAGCAATGATTCATTATTTTACTTCTTATGATCTTTTGTTTGTTCTCTCGCTTATGTCATCATTAAAACAAGTTACATATTTTGTTATTTTTTTATAGGGATTATGAAATTCCGAAATATAAGGAGTGCATTTGTCTGCTTGAGTTATTTGTGAAGGATAGTATTAGAGGTGCTTAATCTTCCCTCTTTACCTATATTGCCAGCGATGACATTTTGTAATGAAATGATAAGTATGAAGAAATCAAGTCCTAAGGTTTAGTATTAGCGATGCTAATGTAACAAAATACAGTCAAGTAAAGTCGGTAAGTTAAGTTCTATAATATGAGTTCATTTATGATAATGATCCTAATGGAATATTTACTTTTTTTTTTTGAGAAAAAAATGGAATACTTTACGTACTACTTACTATAAGATCTTTTGAATGATCACTTTCTACATTAAATTTCAAGGAGGTGGGAGATTAGAAGAAAAAAAGAAACAGGGAAAGAAGGCACTAAGGTTGGAAAAGGAAAAAAGACAAAGAAAACAAATACAATTTTTGGCATAACCTATGACAGATTGTTGAACTATTACTATTACCTTTTTTCTTTCTCATTTTGTATCTTATTAGGAAAAATTCAGTTCGTTAACTCAATGACGCCTTCAATACCTGCGCAACGCGCGGGTAAATTTACTAGTTGTATAATATTAGGAATGCACAAAGGCATGTATACATTAAAAAATGCTATTGAAGTAGCGTAATTGTGTAACTGGATCTTTTAATCCAGGTATAGCTAATTATCATATTATTATTACAGATTGAATGTGGGACAAAATAATATAATAATTCTTTTACAAAATAATACATATATTTGTTGGATCACAAGTTGTGCAGCAACTCTGTACACTATCAAGGAAGTCTACTAGAGTTGAACTGGCTCAACTAAAGTCTCCCTGACACATATTTGTATTGGACTATAATAACACAATAAGAACTGGTCCAATTATTGTAATTAGGGGATCTGATTCATTTTGTACAGATGGCTTGACTAACGAATAAGAAGAGAAAAATCATTTTCTTTTTGTTCTCTCTCGGACATTAAAATCTAGGGTTTGCCATTTACATTTGCCCTTAAATCTGCTTTGATCCTTCATGTTTTCAATATTGAGTTTTGACCATATATTAAGTGGCAACTAAATAATGTGTAAAAGAAAACTCTTTTATAACGAGATTATCTTACCCAATATTGGTAACCAAACATGCCCTAAGACTCCTGTTTTAGAAATACAAAAGGGAGAAAGTTTCTTTTGTATTTATCTTTTCAGGAAACAAAAGTTATGAAAACTGAATTAGTGTTTATGTGTCTTTTCTTTTTTCCTGTAACGTCGTTGTCGCTCGTATTTTAGAAGACATTTCTTGCGTTATTAAGCAAATGAAGAGAGTTATCCATACCGACAAAGAATTATGGTAAAATTATAAATACTTAATCATTTTTAATTAGAGATCTCGAGTTCGAATTCAAAAAATGGATTTATCTTCGTTAGGAAGCGGCAAAGTGCCTTACTCGTCAAAGTAGAAATTTTCAATGTGAATCTAAATTTAATCGAGCCCAAATATGTGTATCGAATACTAAGGAGTCGTTTGGTATGATGGATAAGCAAAAATAATTCTGGGATAAATATTTAGTACCATCTTATCTCTTGTTTGGTTACTAATCCTGAGATAAATTATCTCATAATTAAAAATAGTATTCGAATAACTTATATATACCTGAGGTTTGAATGGTAATCTAAGGATAAGTTATCCCAGGATAAAGTAGTAAAATTGACAATTTTAAAATCAATATAACATACTAAACAATCAAAAAGACATAATATCAGGATAATTAATTCCAGCATAACTTGACGACAAACCAAACGACCCCTAAGTGAGAAATCAGAAAGAAAAAAAAATGTCTCTCTTGTTTGACTTGAAACACATAAAGAGTCATTGGGTACGTCATTTAAGTCTTTGGGTTATTGAACAGGTCTGAAGAGTATATATACACCACAATTTCTAGATATTTAGGATAAGATAGTCCTACAAGTTGAGCAAACTTTAAAATTCTTTATTGCATGATTATCTAGTAATATGTCAATATGTATATTGATATTATCTCCCCACAAGTTCTGTCGTCCTCCCTGATGCCTTTGGTGTTTAGATATCTTTTGATTGAATTATAATATGCCTATTATACCAATAAGGGTTGCGGCGGAATGACTGAGTAAGCATTTTTTATTCTTAATTAATAATTCAAGTTTGAATTCTGATTATGAAATAGCTTTTATTAAAAAAAATTGGCGCGAATCTGATTTAAGTCGAGTCCTAATAAATGCTAAATGCTGATTAATTTTTTTTTTTTAAAAGAAAAAAAGTAGAAGAGGAAGATACCTATCACGTTTGAGTTTATGTTATTTTAATTTAGGCGCCACATATCTTTGTTTTTAGTTTTGGTTTGTCGGTCGATGTACGTAAGCCAGTTGGTCATATTGATGTGTTCTAAGGACAAGGTTTAATAAATGGTTAACCATTAGTATCAATAATGGACCCGCAAAATAGAGAAAATAACATGAACTAGTCAGTTTTTGAATAGGTAATCGAAAAATAAGTAAAGTTATTGAAAAAATTATGATTATTTTACACGGAGATAAAATCTGGATAAAAATACTCTAGCTGAAATACGGAAAGATTCTGCTTATAAACTTGAGCATATTATGTTGGAACTCCAGTACATTATGAAATTCATGTACATTAAAAAACTCTACCTACAACATATTAAGCTGGAATTTTCCGGATTTTAAGGGTGTTTTTGTTCATATATTATCTTTAAAAAAAAAAAGTGATTAGATTTCGATTACTTTTAATGTTGCTATTTTTTAGTTACCAGTTTTAAATCTGGCTATTTCTAATTTTTCCAGCATAAAATATGGTTGAGAATTGTTTTGCAGTTTGAGATTTTATACATCTTGGGGTATTTCTGATTAATACGTATCTTTTTTTTTTCCCACCCGATGTTCATATTAAATTGGAATTCGATTAATTTGCACTTGCACAGAAAAGTTTCTCTTTAGAGATAAAGCATTTTTTACCAAAGGTGATTTCATTCTTAACTCGAAATTTCTAATTAAAAATAAATATATTAAAATTATTATATTGAATTGATATAAATATCGAATACCGACAAATATTAACTTGGCGTCTGTTTGATAAGTCAACTGATAAGTGACTGTTTGACATATTCTTCTGCATGATTTGTTTCTTCACTCATGTTTTAATTTGTAGGCCAGCAATCCCTTTCCCGTGGTTTGACTCTTCCTATTCTCTCTCAAAATGTACTTGTTCTTAAATTAAAAATATTTATAAAATATCAAAAATAATTTTTATGACATAAAAGTTATTTTCTACCTTTCTATTTAGATGATGTGGTTTGATTTAAGATAAAATTTAGGAAAAAATGATATACTTTAAAACATATGGTCTTAAAAGCTTTGTCGGACATAATATTTGTGTAACTATAAAAAAAAATTAAAATTAAATTATTTTTAAATATAAAAATATATTATTCTTTTTCGAACGGATTAATAAGAAAAATATGTTATTTCAATTGAAACAAAGAGTATGTCATATATACTACCAGGGGGCGCGGCGCAACTTAAAGTAGAACATTATAATAAACTAATCTTGACCTGGATTATTTGACTCTTAATAAGCAATCCATTCGTAGATCAGGTTCTAAATTTCTTTGGAGTTAGACTGTGAAAATATTTCTTCGTTTGACATTTAATTTGGACTTGGGTTTTACTAAAACAAAAGGGGGGTTTGAATTTATGCTTTGAGAATAAGTGTGAGTTCAACTCTTCAAGGGAGGTGGGGCGAGGACTTAAAATTTTCGGGTTTGAGATTCTACTCCTTTTAATTTATGGGAATCTAAAATAATAATTTTTATATTTTTACTGAATTTCTTATAAAATAAATACAAAATTTGAACTAAAACTATTCCGTTCAATCGCGCCAACAAACTAAACTCTAGCTTCTCCTCTAGCTCAAGACTCTCTTCACGTGGAAATGACACCGAATAGCCATTTTTAAGCATACTATTTAAATTATATTCATAATTTATAATTAAAGATTAGCCAATTTCGCTCAAACATCAGGACACAACATCCTAGAGTTTAAACTTCAAAGTTCAAACTTCAGGATATTGTATCCGAAAGTTCGAAAATTGTATCCAGAAATTCGAATCTTATGTCCTAAATTTTAAATTAGTAGTTCAAAAATTCATGACAAAATTTCAAATTACCTCCTCAAAAATTCAAGATACTTAGTCCTGAATTTTGGGTTATTTAGCTAATCTTTTTATACATAATAAATTATGAATATATTTTAAATAACGGACTTAAATGTGACTATTGCTGCACTTCGCCCCGCTTCACATTCACTCTCTTTACTTCCACTTGTAGACCAAGTTTCTTCGTCTCCTTTGGTCCACACAATAATGTAAAATTTCCCTCACACGTCCTAGTATACCCTTCCCTTCAATTATTTATGCATTCAAATCTTACTATAAATAGAACCCAAGATTACACCAGTTTCTTCATTCCTTAATTTCAAACTAAGCTTTAAACCAAAAAAAAAAAAATTATGGGTTCTAAGGCATTTCTGTTTCTTGGTCTTTGTTTGGCTATTTTTTTCCTGATAAGCTCTGAGGTTGTAGCTGCTGAGTTGGCTGAGACTTCCAACTGTAAGCTTACTCTCATTTTACTCTGAAAAAAAACGAAAATGTCATTTCTCATTAATTATATGATATAGGATTCAACTATTAATTATTTTGTACGCATTGATGTATTTTAACATTCTTTAACCTTTCAAATTAGTGTTTATCAGCTAGTAAAGCTCAATTTGATTTCCAAATCGAGCTAGTAGTTGAGTTACACTTTTTTTATTTACTATCGCTATAGCTTGATAGTAACTCTTAATATGTAGTCCTTTTATTTCATTTTAAGTGTTTTAATTTGGCTGGTTGCGAAGTTTAATTGAGAATGTAAGTAAAATGTTTGAACCTTGTGATTTTATACTAAAGTTGTATAAAAACATTCCAAAAATATTCTTTAAATCTCGTGGTCTTACACGTCTTGTATAAGATGAGCCATAAAGGGTAAAAATGAGAATGGTGGAACTTAAAACTTACTTATTGATTAAATGTAGAAAGAGTATTTTTTTTAAAAAAATAATAATAAAAGGATAGAACGATACATAAATTGAAACATATGAAATAGTAACATGTTTTAATTTTCATAATTGATGCAGCAATGAAATTGGATAACGAGAATGGAGTATCTATTGACGGACGTAGTGGATACAATGACGTTGGCGGTGATGGATATTATGGTGGTGGTTATAAACGTAGAGGATGCCGCTATGGTTGCTGCAGGAAAGGTTACAAAGGATGCAAAAGGTGTTGTTCCTACGCAGGTGAGGCCATGGATAAAGTCACTGAAGCTCAGCCT